TGTACCTACTGTGTGCTAGCCACTAGTCAGGAGCTGGGGAGAGAGAGAGAGATGGCCAAAGTTTCCTGCCCTGCTGGGTCTGGCGTCGTGGTGAGAATCTGCCCCCAATCTGCCAAGTGTGCTGGGAAGAGTCCTGAGGCGTCGGAGCTGGCACGTAGGTCCCGGCTCTGTAAGTATCTCACTGGGTGACATTAAGCAGGTCACTCGGCCCCTCTGTGCCCTGGTTCCCCCACGTACTTCCACCCTCGCGTCTGTAACACCAGGGCACAGGGGAGGGACCTTTTCAACTGCATGCTTCCAGCCCCAGCCCATGGCCGTCTCCTGCCCAGATCTCACCACTTCCCTACCCACCCTCACATCTCTATGTTCACCAGAGTGAGACCCTTAGCAAGCAAACTGGACCCTGTCTCTTCCCTGCTTAACAATTTGAAATGACTCCCACAGCTTCGTGGGGTCCTCAGAAGCACAGCCTCTGTCACTTTTCCCAAAACACCCTTCCGAACGCACGTCCTTTATGCACAGGAGTGTAACTGTTCACCACCCTGCACCCGCCCTCCGTATAGCAGGCAAATTCAACCTTTTGGACTCAGCTTCGCCGTGTCTTCCCTGGGAAGCCTTCCTTCGCCTCTTACTTCTCTCTAAGGGTGTCCTTCTCTGTGCTCTGTTGGCAAATTTTGCAAATCTCCAGCCTAATGTCATGAGCTGAGTAACTGTTTATTCATGATCAGTGTGTCCCACCCGATGGGACCTTGAGGATAAACAGTGACCTGCTCGATTGCTTCCTCAAGCCAGTGTCATCTACAAAAAGGGCCTATTAGACAAAAAGACACTTCAGGGACATCACCAGATGCAGCCCATCAGCATGGAGCGGACAACAGCTCTCACACACATTTGGGGGAAATTGGAGAATTGGGTATTAGATGATACTAGGAAATAATTATTGAAATCTTTAGATGTACTGTTATGTTCTAACTTTTAATAGTTTCCTAAGTTTGGTAGAGGAATGTTATGATGTCTGTAACCTACTTGGATTATCGATTATCTATGATCACAAAATGGGTAATAATAGTAATAAAATAGCTATTGCAAAAAAATTGAGGACATGGATTTAGTCTTTTTGCTTTTGTACCCCCAGCTCCCAGTGCAGAGTCTGGCCTGTAATGGATAGTCACAGAATTTTGGTTGTTTAATTATTCATGAGTAACATCCAGAAGTTGGGAAAATGTGTGGAGTGTTTCTGGTCTACTGTGGAAGTGGGTCTCATGCAACAGAATGAAAACAAAATTGACAGTGCCTAATTTCAGAAGGACTAACAAGAGGGAAGGGGAAGCTTAGACCTATTGGGAAAGGAAGGGGTAGGGAAATGAGCAAAAGGCCTGTGGCTGAGCCTGGAGTCTCTCCTGTGCAGGGACGCCGTGAAGAGTTACACATGTTGTGCACTTCCTGAATGGGTTGTGATTAGCTGTGTGCCCGGAGAAGGAGCTTTTTCCTAATTTTCTCTGCCTGATGGGATAACTGCAGCCCTGTTACTATGTCTATGGGGCTTGTGGAAGAAGAGGAGAATCAAGATGACCATTTGATGTTCCTGGGTGCCCTGGTATGCATCTGTGGGACAGTCCTTGGCAAACCTAGAAGGTTGGTTACCCTAAGGGGAGTGCAACAAGGGGAAGAAAAGGTTGTGGAGCTGGAAGTGAAGATGGAGAGAGAGAGACAGAAAGCAGGGGGAAGAAGGAAGTAAACTTGTAGGTTGATGTTTTCTAAAGTTGCAAGAACATGGAGTTATTATCACCAGCTGACGACACAACTTCCAGCAAGCTCAGCATCCCGTCCTCCCTCCACTGGAGAGGATGGCCACTTGCCCACCCACTGGGCCCAGACTGATACAGTTACAGACAAGCCCAGGGAGGAGGGAGGGGACTCAAGGAAGTTCTCAGTTTGCTCACAGCAGCTCCGGGCAGGAGTTATTACAAATACTACACAGAGTAGGAGACTAATTGTAAATGGGTGTATAGGTGTGTGTACGTGCAAAAACAGACTTACCATATGACCCAGCAATTCCACTCCTGGGCATATATCCAGAGAAAAAAGTAATTTGAAAAGATACCTGCACCCCAATGTTTACAGCAACACTATTTACAATACCCAAGACATGGAAGCAACCTGAATGTCCATCGACTGACGACTGGATAAAGAAGATGTGATACACACACACACACACACACACACACATGAATACTACTCGGCCATGAAAAAGAATGAAATAATGCCATTTGCAGCAACATGGATGGACTTGGAGATCATCTTACCAAATGAAGTCAGTCAGACAGAAAGACAAATATTAGGTGATATCATTTATATGTGGAATCTAAAAAATAGTACAAATGAACTTATTAACAAAACAGAAACAGACACAGACATAGAAAGGGGGGGAGGGATAAACTAGGAGTATAGGATTAACGGACATGCACTACTGTGTATGAAACAAATAAACAACAAGGATTTTCTGTATGGCCCAGAGAGCTGTATTCGATGTCTTATAATAAGCTATTATGGAAAAGAATCGGAAAAAAGAATGCATATATATGTATAACTGAATCACTTTGCTGTACAAACGGAACTAATACAATATTATAAAGCAACCATAGTTTAATTTAAAAAGAAAAAGACTGCCTTGAATTTTTAACCCTTCTCCCATTGGAACACATCTCATTCCCTCCTCCTGAATTTGGCCCGGCCTTCCCAACTTATTTGCCCAAAGTCACAGAGGTAGTAAGTGGCCGAGCTCAAATGCGAAGTACAGCCGACAGCCTCGGGAGTCCACGTCCACAGCCTCTACACAGCCGCTGCCCTGAAGCCGGTCTCCCAGAATAAAACAGGCAAACGCCTATTCAGGGCGTAAACACCCTGGGGGGGGGGGATTTTTGTTTTGCACCAAACGTCTTTTCCAGAGACAAGAGAAATTAAATTCGGATAAGACACGAGGCCTGCGATGTGTGAGGGACAGATGGAAATAAAGGCACCCTCTCCCGTGGGTGTCGAAGATGCCCGACGCCGGGGGCTGGATGTAACGTGGTATCTGAGAGCTCCTGTAATACAGTTAGAATCAACTTCCTAAGACACAAAGACACTTTTGAGACACTTAAGATGAATTTCTTGATAAAGTTTAATTTATTGGAGTGGGGGGAGTTCCGAGAAGCTGGTTGAGTTTCTTAAAATTATAGATGTCATGTTTTCCATTATCTGTATGAAAATATGGGGGAGAGCCACTTTGTGTGTCCCCTGAGATGTATAACTTGGATAATTTCTATCAAAGCACCACTGGATGTTTACTCTTCAAAGAAGGGACCCAGCGAGTGGTCCCTCCCTGTGGGTGTCAAAAGCCCCCAACATCTAGGTTGTCTGGAGGGCCAGTGACTGGCATCTGAAGCAAGCTTCCTCTCTAGAAGGGTCTTTACTGGGTTTGAGAATTTGGGGAGGAGTTTCTTATTGAACCTGACTTCTGGGCTCACCGGGTATCAACTTCCAACTCTGGTTCATGTGTGCAAGAAGGATCATCTGGAACCTCACACACAGTTTAGAGAACATGAGCCATTTTTCCCAGAAATGGAAGTTGTTTAGTGGGTAAGGGTGGTGGGGGCAGAAGATTGAGATTGTGGGTCCTAAGATTCTAAAGTTGCAAAGGGACCCCCCCCCCCACCCAAAGCCTCGGGGAGGAGTTTTGCAACCCAGGTTATGGTCAGGCGGCATGTCACACAAAAGGAGGGGAGTGTCTCAAGCTGAGCCAGAATTTTATTTAATCAAGTTAACTTTTTAAAAGTCTTTCCTGACTGCAGACCTACATGTTGTTGTCCAGATCAAGACGTATCCTGAAGTTCTGGACTTCTGATAATATATTTATTAGTGGGCTTTTATTTCAAACCTGCCACTTTATCCCTGTTCCTATATGTCTTCCTTACTGTGAGCTGTATGTGCAAAAATCTGATTTTTAATTTCATGATCATATACCTTGTATCAGAAAACTATTGTCCCTTCCAAAAGCTCTGCTGCAGTGCTGGGACAGTAAGTCCTCAGCAAACATGCATGGGCACCTCAAGGTCTGGAAGTTGTCAATGAAACTGGAAACAGGAATACTTCCTAACCAGACGTTCTAAAAGACTTTCACCGAGGGTCCTGCCAGGGATCTGCCTCCTTTCATTAAATACTAACATCTGAGTGAACTTCAGTTCTGAGCTGGGGTGTAATAGACTATCTTTCTTTTCATACGAGAAGCATCTCATTCCTTCTAAAAACTGCGTTTATTCTTTGACAGACACATTGTGTAATCGTAGTGAAATGCCCAAGGCATTCCAGACTTTGGGACAGGCAGAGAGGATGGGCTTCTGGGACTGAAACTTTGTTTCTGTTTTATTTTGTTTTGTTTTTCATGCTCATTTCCTCAGCTTACTTGTTATCTTGCCTGAGTAGCTGGAATAATCAGGGAAGATTGCTCACGAAGTACCAAGTTACTCAAGAGATGAAGACTGAGCAGGGAAGATGAGGGAAAGGATGTTAACTCGTGCAATTGTCCTTCCCGAGACCATGAAGAAGATTAAACATCGGTGGGTACTTTAATAGGAGTTAGTGAGTCATACATCTGAGGAGTGGACATAATTACTCTCTCTCTCTCACATGTGCACAGAGTCAATAGAAAACTCAAAATCTACAATTTGAAGAAACTTACTCAGCTCACTGGAACCCTAGAAAAATCAAACTCTATTAAGAAATCTATCTTACCGGTCTATTCTGCTCCCATAGCATCTTTTTTAGTTTCTCAGGGGGTTCGTTCCAAACTTATTACTGAGGATAACAGGTGTCACCCTCCTTTCACCTGTAGCCATGAATCCGGGGGCACGTTCCGGCTTCCCCGTGACGCCTGCCGGAGTTCATAAGTGAATGGAGGGAAGTTGTTTGGGCCAAACCCCAGCCTCTGCCTGGCTGGCTTCCCCAGTTCAAGGACTCACGTTTGTTGGCTTTCAGCTTCTTCTCATCCACAGGAATGAGGTCCAAGTAGTCCATGTAGTATTCGTAGCTGTAGTACGCAGCGGAGGCATTGGTCCTGTTGGCCATGCCTGCGGCGCTGGGAGGAGGCACCTCGGAGCCGCCCAAGCTCTACCAGGAGATCGCCCAGCGGATTTCTGTAAAAATCATCCAAGTGTGTCTGTGGGTCTCCAGGCTCAAGGCCTGCCCACTTATCGGAGCTGTTGGGCTGGGAGAAAGGTCAGGGGGGTGTGCCTGACATCTTCAGTGTGCAAGCAGAGTGTTCCATACCGCCCGGCTTGACGGGACTCCAAGACAAACAGATCCGCGAGGTGGGAGCCTGAGGTCCCAGTGCAGGTCCAGGTTGGCCCTCAGCTTTCGGATAGGAAAACAGATCCCCTTGGGCCTCATGAAAGACAAGATGTGAAATAGGGGTAGAAAGGACAATTACTTTTGGCCTTAAGTACTTAAAAACTTAGGAAAACCAAATCAAACGCCCGCCAGTGCCCTTGACTTACATTAAGGCAGTTCTTGCTGCTATTAAGCAACCAGTACAGCTCACTGGCTTAGATTCATTATCCGAGGGCAGAAATTGAGTGATGTCGGCCCTGAACTTGCAACCCCTCTCATGCAATACACATCACCAATTAATTAAACCAAAAGAACTCCCTGTTCCAATTGAGCACACCTCCCAGCTTTTATAGGATCCCCCAAGAACCAACAAGCCAGCAGCCTCTGTTCAGACTGGAGAGGCTGTTTTGCGGGCCAAGATCCCACATGGATTGCACTCTGGGGAAATAGGGCCCCAGGGTTCACCAGCCCTTGGCTGATGACAAGGACTCCAAGTCTTCTAAGAGCACAGACGCAATCAAGAGAAACATTTCAAATATTTCGAATGAGTAGGACTAAATGTGAGAGCAGCCTAGAATTTAGCCTTTGAGAATTAGTCATGAAATCAACTATGAAATATACCAATTTTCTAGTGTTCTTGATTCAGGTCTACACTACCAGAGTACAGCTGGGCACTGATAGTGTAGACGGCGAACCCAGGTAACTTCAGGCCCTCTGCTGGTTTTCATCCAGTGCCCCCAAGCCTGCTGGGCCTGGGGCATTTCTTGGGGACCCCTCCCCCTGAACTGAACCGAGGTGGTTCAGTTGATTGGAAAGGGAGAAATGAGCTCCAGGGTTTCCAAAGTTGGGGTAGGGTAGTGCAGGGAGGATCCACTTGAAAAGACACTCCATACACCATGCACATAGCTGTGCACCTCCAGATGTTGCTGTAGACACAGCTGTGCACATGCCACCCAGGAGTACGTGGTTAAGGGACAGTGCAGGGGGGCAGGTAAAGCTCAGTGGTAGAGCATGTGCTTACCATGCATAAAGTCCTGGGTTCCATTCCCAGTACCTCCATCAAAAAAAAAAAATAGGACATGGAGTGTAAGGGACATGGGGATGGATTCTGGAGCCAGACTGCCTCCTTCAAATCCTGTCTCTTCCTCTTCACAACAGTGTGGCCATGAACAAGTGACAACCTCTCTCAGTGGGTTTTTCTCATCTGTGAAATGGGCACGACCACAGCATGTGTCTGCTGGGGGGCTGGGGAGGACAAGTGGGGACAGCCAGGTATAGTACTGACAGCAGCCCTGACTGTAGGAGGTGCCCATAAATATGAGCTGTTATTGTCACCTGCCAGCAAATGTGCCTTTCCTCCCATCTCATCATCTTCTTTTCTCATTTCTCACCCTCCAACAAGCCCATCTTCTCGTCCACCTCTACTTTCACCCCATCTGTCTTAATCCATTCCATCCCTTTCTGTGCATAATGTCAACCTTGGATACAGATGAATTCCTTCTATTTCTTGCCTTAACTGTTCACATTCTCCAGCCCTCTGTTTGCCCTTACTGAAGAACCTCTAGTAAAAATTTCCATCTTCAGCTACCATCGTCATCCACCAGCATGCACCCACGTGCATGCACACACACAGTATTTTCCAGAAAGTTGACTGGCTTATTCAGTCTTACCCAACCAATTAGTGACTGAGTCCAGATTGGAACCCAAGTCTCCCAACTCCCAGTCTGATGAGTTCCCCTTGGCACCAGGCAGTCTTCAAGAACGTGGCTCATAAAAAGCAGCTGGCAAGGAACATTGTGTTCGTAAGACACAGACATGGTTATTACATGGAGGGAGAAAAGACAGGGACTCTTCAACTAGGACTTGAAGGTCAAATGCATTGACCTAGACTATTAGCAGCAGAGACATGTGACCGAAGAGGGGTTCAGTTTCAAGGCTGAATGAGATCTGGTTGATAAGAAGATAGACAGAGGATCTCTGACTTTTCAGGATGTGTTGGAACAGAAACAATTGTGCTACCAGCTCTCCCTTAACTGGGGTTGTATATATTTTTATACTTTTAAGCAATTGAACATGTATCTGACCAAGTCACTACAATTTTTTTCTTTCCTCATTCTAAACTTAGGAGGTTGGAAGATTGGAGTCACGGGGATTGGCAAAATTGGCAGGTGGAGTGATGCACAGTGTGAGGACTCTGGGTCAAGTGGGAAGAGGGGCCCCCTCTTCCAATCCCCGAATTTTCCTATTCGGCTCCTTCAAGTTTAAACTCCCCATGGCCCAAGACAACTTCTCTGATTTGGCCAGACCCTGGTGACTTACCCTCCCCTCAACTCCAATAACGCAGATTTATCATCACTACCACCCTTTAAAGAAATATTTTAAAATTGTGATGTAACTTACAATAAATTAAACACATATGTCTTACAGATAGCTTGATGAATCACACACATGTGCATACACACACGCAACCATCATCCAGATCAAGATATAGAGCATCCCAGTGCCCAAGCAGGCTTCCTCGGGTCCTTCCTGGTGAAGTCCTGTCCCCCACCCCCCATACACATCAAAGAAACCACTTTTCTGACCTCTGTCATCACAGATTAGCTTTGCCTAGTTTTAAGCCTCACTTAGATCTAATCATGCAATACAATATATACTCTTTTGTATCTTTCTTCTCTTATTCAACATTTTTTTCCCATACGCTATTCCATTATATGAATATTCTATGGTTGATTGATTTATCCATTCTCCTGTTGATGAATACTTGGGTTCTTTCCTGTTTTTCACTATTATGAGCATTCTTTTTCACATATGTGGTGGACATAAGTACTAATTTGTGTATTGGGTATATATGAAGAGTAGGTTGATGAGAATAGCTTTGCTAGGTATTGCTAAACAGTTTTCAAAAATGTCAATACCAATTACACTTTCACAGTAATAGATATATATGGTGTATTGGAAAAATGCCTGTAATTCTTCTCCTGGTACACCCAGTAACTTTGCATTCTCTTCACATCAAAAATTGAAGCAAATTTCTCCATGTTTTTGATTTGATGACTTGTTTTGTCTTTGACTAATAAGTAGAACTGCTAAGTTGTATAAGTTTCAGGCCAAGGACTTGAGAGGCCATCCGTGTGCCCACTGTCCCAGACCCCTGCCCAGTCACTGTGTGAACAAGCACCAGTTAGCCTGCTGGGTGATCAGAGACATGCTGCCCAGTCAACAGCTGGCCAACCCCTGGGAGTGGAGTGCCCTAGTTGACCAGCAGCTGACCATAGACCTGTGGGTGAGCACAGCCAAAATCCAAAGAGCACCAGCTGAGCCTGAATTAAATGGCTAATCTACAGAATCATGAGATTCTGAGCTACTTGAAAGGTTGTTCTTGTTTGTTTTTGGTTTTTTTTACATTTTTAAATTGAAGTATAGTTGATTCACAATGTTGTGTTGTTTCAGCTGTACAGCAAAGTGATTCAGTTATACATATATGTTTACCTGTTCTTTTTCAGATTCTTTACCTTTATAGGTTATTACAAGATATTGAATATAGTTCCCTGTGCTGTACAATAGGTCTTTGTTGTTTATCTCATTTATGTATGTGTGTATCTGCTAATCCCAAACTTCCAATTTATCCTTCCTTGCTCCTTCCTGTTCGGTAACCATAAGTGTGTTTTCTATGTCTGTGATATATAATCTTTTTAAAATTGAGGAATTATAGATAAATTTACTTTTTCTTCTTTTCTTTCTTTCCTTCTGTATTAAAGTTCTCAAGATACAGAGCCAATAGGAGGAGATATACATATGTATATACATAATACACACAAATACTAATTCTCAGCCTTCATAATTGCATAAGCCAATTTCTTATAATAAATTTCACTGCAAATATACATACTATAATATATGTGTATATATGTGTGTGTGTATAAATATATGTACATATCTCAGTGTGTGAAAGCAGTTCAAGTCTGAGGGCTTGAGAACGAGGCAGAGGAAGACTGATACTCAGTCAGGTAGAGACAGAATTCAATCTTTTTATTCTATTCAGGCTCTCAAAGGATTGAGAGGTGCCCACAAAGTTGGGGAGGGTCATCTGCTTTACTGAGTCCACTGATTCAAAATGCTAATGTCTTCGAAACCCTCAAAGACACTCCCAGAAATAGTGTTAATGAGATATCAGGGCATCTGGTGATGCAGTTAAGTTGACACCTTCACCCTTCTCTTCTTCTCTTCCCTCCCTCCCTTTCTTCCTTGATACATTTTCCAATTGAACATAATTTTAATTTCATTAGTTTGGAATTTTCACTTCTGACAAACTACTGATTGTTAAAATGAATTTTCTGCTCTGGTAATAATCTTAACTGTTAAGTACCCACGAAAGTGCCCTGGTAGAAAAACTGATTAAAAAAATTATTTTCCCCTTTGACATAAGTAAGAACTAATACTTCCATCAAGGTCAACTCTCTGAGATAATAATGACATGTCTATCTTAACAAATACCTCGAAGACCTTGACGTTTGGCATTGTTTTTTGTCTCACTCTAATTTATAACCCAAAACTTGAAGGTGACGTCGTTTTTCCTTCAGTGTTTTCTTTATAGGAAATGCGCACACTCATTAGGCTATCACTGTGACCAGAGATGGAGTACAGGGGGGAAGGAGACAGGAAGGGAAGAGAGGCGGGGACAAAGGTTTACTGAGCAATGACCTGAGCTGTCCACTGTGCCAGTGCTTTCTGTGAATCTCACAGTACTCTGCTCAGGTGTCAGGAGCCCCGTTTTCCAGGCGGAGAGCTGGG